TTTGCAGGAGGGGGTGGGAAGCGGGGTGGGGGGATTTGAGTCGGTGTGGAGGGATGTGGGGGATGTGAGTCAGTGTGTGGGTAGGTGTGGGGGAACTGTGGGTGTGGAGGCTGCTTAGGAGGGGTGGGTCCCCTACATGAATGGTGCGTGCTCCTGGTGGTTAGTGGGGCACAGTGGTGCTGGTAGTGGCGATAAGCAGGGAGCTCTTGCAGGCACCACTGGTACTGTTGGTGGTGACAGCGGGGTGAGCACCAACTGGTGATCGGCAACCACCCACAGATGCTGCCAGCAGCGTTGGCAGTGGCCAGCAGTGATCGCTGACTGCTCTCAGACACTGCTGCCAGTGTGGGGGGCGGGTAGCAAGCAGCAACCACACATAGGCACTGCTGACAGTGTTGGCAGAACCTTTTCTGAGGCCTGGAGATGAGCAGGAGAACAAGCAGGAGGCTGGAGAATGAGCAGGGGGCTGGAGGCATCAGGGGAACATCTCCAGGACATCTCCAGGGGCTCATCTGCAGCCTCCTGCTCATTCCCCTGCATGTCTCCAGCCTCCTGCTTGTTCTCCTGCTTGTCCAAGGCTGGAGATGAGCAGGAGAATGAACAGGGGCTGGAGATGCTCAGGAGGCTGCAGGCAAGCCACTGGAGATAAGCTGGAGACTTCCCCTGCTCTCTCCAGCCTCCTGCTCTTTCTCTGTTACTACTGGTGAGTGTGGGGGTCTGAGGCATCAAATGGAGGGCTGAAGCAATGAATGGGGGGTGGGGAAGAAGCGAGGGAAGGTGGAATGAGCAGGGAGTGGGGGGAACGAATGGGTGAATGAATGGGGAGCTGGGGGAATGAACGGGAGATGGAGGGAATGAAGGGGGGGTGGGGAAAGGTATGGGGAGTTGGGGAAAGGAACGGGGACTGGGGCCGGGCGAGGCCTCCCCCAAGGTCCCCTCCCCCCTCCTCTAGCCCCCCAAACCCTACTTACCTAACAAGAAGCACTCCAGGTCCCTGGAGCTTGCACCGCTGCCTCCCCAGCAGGCAGTGTGCGTCAGCATGGGGGAAAGGGCCAACCACAGAAACACTCTGGCTGGCTACCAGAGTGTCTCTGTGGAGGATCAAGCCTCCAGTTGCCTCAGGGCATGGTCCAGGACTGTGACCTGACCCATCTTTTCCCTCCAGGGTATTGTTTGACCCCTGGATATCCAGGGGTCTAATTTTGCCCCCGCGCTACAAATTTGCACTGCAAGGAACATTTTTTTGCTCCCACGCATGCCTCTTGCAGCTTCTGAAAGTGGTTTGAGATGCTGCAAGAGGCACATGTGTCCTTTTCTGGACGCGCCCAAAGAGTACATTTCAACGGCTGTGGAATGCAGCAGACTACACCCAAGGTCAGGGATGTTCAAAGAATCTCTGGGGAGAATGGAGAAGTATACACTGGTTGCCTTTCCTGCATAGACTTCTCCCCACCTTACTTCAGAACTTACCTGGTACCTGCTTACTGTGCTGTTCAAAAGCAAATGGGAGTGGCAGCAGATTGGGGAAGCACCTATGTACATCAGGGATAACCCCCTGGGTTGTCATACGATAATACTGAATCACATCCCTAATACTTACATGGGGTCAGAATGATGTGGAGTCTGGATTATTGAGTGAGGTGCTTATCTAAGTGGGCACTAGTGCAGGGGCTTAGCACTCTGTACTTGGGTGACAAATTTTAGGCACTTGACATATTAGTCTGAGTGACTTCCCCAAAGCTACCGGAGAGGTGGTATCAGATCAGGGAGGGATCTCCTGCTAACTCTCTTTCATAGTCTACAACATGTTGCCTTTCACACTGCTGCACTGCCTCTCCTCATGGCCCAAAATCTCACTGGTTGCTCAGCAAAGGGGCTGGCTTTTATCATTTTCAATAATTCTACTACCAACAATGGCATGGCTGGTGGTGTCCTTCATAGCCATAAACTGATATAGGGTTTTCTGGAAAAAAACAAAACAAAACAAAGAACTTGTAACCACATTGTTTGCTTAATCCCACAGTCTGCTTCTGAATACCTGTATACAGAGGAGGGGAAAACTGTGACAAGCTTTCATCTTAGTAAGTAAAGTCCTCTTCTCTTTCTTTTTTCCCCTGTCTGTTCCAACCCCTTCCTATCCTGTCAGGTCTCAGAGAGACTCCTGCTCCCACCTTCTGCATCTTGACGACATGGCACTGAAACTCCCAGGAACTGTTCCCCTCTGTATTATCAGCCTTGGAATTCTACTCATGGTGTGTGCTGTCCCTGCTGAAGCTGGGTAAGATGGCAAAAAATCTTTAACAAAGCAGTAGGAGTCCCCTCTCACTTTGCTGGGAATATTGCAGTGTAAGGTTCCCACAGCCTTATCTCACTTCACTTGGAATATTCCAGCACAATCTGGAAGAAAGGCAACTCTGAGCTTTTCTTTGAATAGTGCAGTGTGAACTGAGAATTTGTTCACTTTCTTTCTGACCAAACCTTATGTATTTGTAATAGTCATGTGTCTTTAAGGCATGCTATATATGATACTCTCAAATATCTATCAGAATGATGGGGCAACCATCTTCCATCTTACTTCTCAATAGGTCTGCATACTTTTCTTATTCACATGAGATATTCCAGCAAAACAAAAATGTTCCTTACTTTCCTCACAATGTCTTGCACTGGGATGCTTCACTCCCTTGTAGCCATAGGTGACTGATTATATTAACATTATTTGACCTGCTAGAGCTAAGGGTATGTCAGCATTTTTATGACAAAACCAGTTTTCTAACTTGGTTCACGTATAATCTGCTCTTGGCTAATGTTTTGCTCATATGAGGTCAAAGGGATCGTATGAGGGATCCCTTTGCTTCTTTTACAAAATTGAACAAGTTACATTGACTTACCTGTGTGGCTGCCAGAAGTTAATAACTGGGGGGGGAAAAAAACATTGATTTTAGATGAAGCTCCCCAGTTTGGCTAATGATTCCTGGTCTTGGCTAGTACTGGTACTCTTTGCCTTAGCCAGAAGTCCACGATCTGGAACAATACTAGCTGTGCTTGCTTTCTTGGATTTGTACATTGATTCTGAGCAGAGAAAACAAAAGCCCATTTTTCCACAATTAGCCATCTGTAAAATCATATCACCCTGTAGTCCAGCATCAGCAGAACCCTAGAAACATCTCCCAGGTAACTCTCTGTTGCTGCCTTTCAGCATGTCAGGATGGATCCCTTTCCAGAAAAAGGGAGACCTGGCTTAGTCCATGTTGGAAAATGAGGTGAGTAAAATTCCCTGTGGTAACGTATCTACAAAATGTACTGTTACAAGGTCATTGTGGGACCCCTGGCATGGATTTATGAGCATTCATGGTGCTCTGGCATGGTGCCAGAGGACTGGAAAAGGGCCAATGTGGTTCCCATTTTCAAAAAAGGGAGGAAAGAGGACCCAGGAAACTATAGGCCAGTCAGTCTTACCTTGATCCTGGGCAAGCTTTTTGAGAGAATTATCCTGGTGCATGTCCGCGAGGGGCCAGCAGGGGAGATTATGCTTAGGGGCAACCAACATGGGTTCATTAGAGGCAGGTCCTGTCAGACCAACTTGGTGGCCTTCTATGACCAGGTCACAAAATCCTTAGATGCAGGTATAGCAGTGGACGTAGTCTTTCTGGCCTTTAGGAAGGCCTTTGACACTGTCTCTCACCCCATTCTCATTAAAAAACTAGGGGACTGTGGCGTCGACACCTACACAGTCAAATGGGTCACTAAGTGGCTGGAGAGTGGCACCCAGAGAGTGGTGGTGGATGGGTCTTACTTGACCTGGAGGGATGTGGGTAGTGGGGTTCCCCAGGGCTCGGTCCTCGGGAACGCGCTGTTCAATATCTTCATCAGCGACTTGGACAAGGGGGTAAAAAGCACCCTGTTCAAATTCGCAAATGATACTAAGATGTGGGGGTAGTGGGCACATTAGAAGGGAGAAACAGGCTGCAATTGGACCTAGACAGGTTACAGGGGTGGGCGGATGAGAACAGGATGGGTTTCAACACTGACAAGTGCAAGGTGCTGCACCAGAGGAAGAAGAACCAGCAGCATAGCTACAGGCTGGGGAACTCCCTTCTTGTCAGTGCAGAGGCAGAAAAGGATCTTGGGGTTATTATTGATGCCAAAATGAACATGGGCCGACAGTGTGGGGACGCGGTCAGGAAGGCCAACCACACCTTGTCATGCATCCACAGATGCATCTTGAGCAGGTGCAAGGAGGTGAACCTCCCCCTCTATGCAATACTGGTCAGGCCGCAGTTGGAGTACTGCCTCCAGTTCTGGGCGCTGCACTTCAGGAGGGATGTGGACAACATGGAGAGGGTCCAGAGGAGGGCCACTCACATGATCAGGAATCAGCAGGGCAGGCCCTATGAGGAGAAGCTAAGGGACCTGAACTTGTTCAGCCTCCACAAGAGAAGACTGAGGGGGATCTAGTGGCCTGTTACAAACTAGTCAGGGGGGACCAGCAGGCATTGGGGGAGTCCCTGTTCCCCCGAGCACTGCCAGGAGTGACTAGAAATAACGGTCACAAGCTGGCAGAGGGTAGATTCAGACTAGACATCAGGAGGCGCTACTTCACTGTCAGGGCGGCTAGGATCTGGAACCAACTTCCGAGACAAGTGGTGCTGGCTCCTATCCTGGGGGTCTTTAAGAGGAGGCTGGATGAATACCTTGCTGGGGTCGTTTGACCCCAGTACTCTTTCCTGCCATGGCAGGGGGTCAGAATAATGATCTACTCAGGTCCTTTCTGACCCTACAAACTATGAAACTATGAAACAATGTTGGATAGAGGCTTCCAAGAACCATCTAGTACATATGTCTAGCAGAAAATATTCAGTTTCATGAATTGTTGTGTGCCCATCATGTGTTCATTGACATTTAATCCATGTATATGCATGCCATATGCCTTCATTATCACAAAAATTTGCTCTCCACACATTTACACATGTATGTGTGCACTGGTATATTTGCTTGCATTTAGTTTTACACCTACAAGTTCATAGCCACATATAGATCTTAAAGAGATCTTTCCAGAACCACTCTCCCTAGACTTTAAATAAGCACTGAACCTCACCAGCCGAATGGATCCAGACCATGCCAGGACAAGAAATGTAAAACCTCCCAACACATCTCAAATACTCTCACAATAACTACACCCCACAACAGAACCATCACCTTTCCTGGATTACAGAAATATAATATATCTCATTCAATGCACTAAATGCTGTGATGAAAAATATGTAGGAGAAACCAAACAAAAACTGCATATCAGAATGAACACACACCAAAAATCCATCAAATACAAAAATACCTAATTACTTGTGAGTGCACATTTCTCACAAGACTAATACTCTCTCTCCAGTCTCTCAGTTCTAATCCTCAAAGGGAATTTACAAAATACCTTTTGTAGGTGAGCCAACAAACTTCACTTTATAAATGTACTGGATACAAAAATTCATGGAATAAATATAGGCATTGGATTTATGGCACATTATAACTTACCTGCCACCCAATAACCCCAGCTAACATCTCTACATTTTACCAGCTACATTCTAGCACCAGGGCAACATTTCCCACTTTTTCTCCACATCTATCTGTGTCACACCTATTGTCTCCCATTGCCTCTGATCCTCACTGCCATGCATTTTGCATTTTCACAGACCTGAATTTTGCATATTAGCTTCTATTCCACCATGGGAAACACAAAACACCAGCAGGCTCTCCCTATGCCTAAAAAAGGGTGTTTGTACCCAAAAGCTTGCAAAGAACAATTTTTCCAACTGGTTAGTTAGTCTACTAAAATATATCACATTTGCTAGGCCTGTGCAAAGCTTCAGTCCCTGATTCGATTCAGTGGAGACTTGACCCAATTTGGTGGCTGAATCTCCAAATCTGAATCAAATCAGAGTACCCTTTAATCTCTCTGAATCGAATTGGAACCCTTCAATTCGATTTGGAAAGATTCAGTAAGATTCAGAGATTCAGACATAGAGACAGTTTTAAATGTTTTTACTACATACCTCTAGGTAGCAGGGGCTCGTGAGTGCTGTGATGCTGGGATGCATGGAGTGTCCCACAGAAGCACAGGGGGCACTCGTCAGCAGACCCTGAAGTGGACCAGAAGCAGTTCTGGTCCACTTCTGGGTCTGCCGGGGAGTGCTCTGACGGGCCCCCCAGCATTCCCCTGGCTTGGCGACTGGTGCCTCATGGGTCTGGGAGGGCACCCGGGGTCCTCCTGTGGCTGATCACCGAGCCAGGGGTGTGCTGGGAGGCCCCCCATTGTGCTCCCCGGCAGACCCAGAAATGGTCCAGAAGTAGTTCTGGTCCACTTCTGGGTTTGCCACCAAGCACGTGGAGCACTCCACCCCACACCACATTCCTGCAGGATGCTCCATGTGTCCCAGAATCACAGCATTCACAAGCCACGCTGGTACCTTGAGGTATGTAGAAACAACTTTTCAAGCTGTGTCTATTTTCAAATTGCTGATTCTCTGAATGAGCATCAAATCTTCAATTCAGCCAAATTGAATCAGGGACAGTGATCTGTATCAACGAATTGAATCACTGTCCCCAATTTGGGCCAAATTTGAATCAAATAGGGCCCACTTTGTACACCCCTAACATTTTTCCAAAGAAACCTGTTACCCACATATACAGTTGTATACCTGTATACAAGCCTACATGTATGCGTGCACTCTTCATGCCCACATACAAGTATGTATGTACATAAAGTATAAGAAAATACCAGGGTGCACACACAAATACAAGTGTACATCTGTGTACAAGCTGGCTGTTTTCCTCAACACAGTTAAACCAACAAGCTGACAGGCTCCTTCTCAATGGCATCATACAAAATTCTCCTCCTCAAGCTGCCTGACTGTAATAAGCAGTCTTTTCTCTAAGCTGTGGTGAAAGGCTTGTGCTTTGTTCTTTGACATTGTAAATAGGGTTCTGAGGAATTGCCAGAACACTTGCTGAATAGCTATTTTTCAAACAGCCATATCTTGGCACTTCCATCACAATGGTTACTGGTCCTTACAAGGTACAGTAAACTGCTTGTGTGAACTTTCATTTCATTTCCATTTTTTTTCTTATGATAAACCCTTCCATTTGTTTGTGCTGGGATATCATTATAATGGAAAAGCTGACAGAGTTTTAGCGATAAGGGCAGCAGCAAGGACTGCTATAATTTAAAGTGAGGCTGTGGGTGTGAACTCCATGTTCTCCTGTTTTCTCTATTCTGAGTATCTGGATGTT